GGTAGATATCTTTAGCCCCGGCAGGTAGATATCTATAGCCCCGGCCGGTAGATATCTTTATCCCATGCAGGTAGATATCTTTAGCCCCGGCAGGCAAATATCTTTAGCCCAGGCAGGTAGATATCTTTAGCCCATGCAGGTAGATATCTTTAGCCCCGGCAGGCAGATATCTTTAGTCCCCTTAGGTAGATATCTTTAGCCCCTTTAGGTAGATATATTTAGCCCCGGCAGGCAGATATCTATAGCCCCGTCAGGTAGATATCTTTAGCCCTTTTAGGTAGATATCTTTAGCCCAGGCAGGTAGATATCTTTAGCCCCGGCAGGTAGATATCTTTATCCCCGGCAGGTAGATATCTTTAGCCCCGGCAGGCAGATATCTATAGCCCCGGCAGGTAGATATCTTTAGCCCTTTTAGGTAGATATCTTTAGCCCAGGCAGGTAGATATCTTTAGCCCATGCAGGTAGATATCTTTAGCCCCGGCAGGTAGATATCTTTAGCCCATGCAGGTAGATATCTTTAGCCCATGCAGGTAGATACCTTTAGCCCATGCAGGTAGATATCTTTAGACCATGCAGGTAGATATCTTTAGCCCATGCAGGTAGATACCTTTAGCCCATGCAGGTAGATATCTTTAGCCCATGCAGGTAGATATCTTTAGCCCATGCAGGTAGATATCTTTAGCCCATGCAGGTAGATATCTTTAGCCCCGGCAGGTAGATATCTTTATCCCATGCAGGTAGATATCTTTAGTCCCGGCAGGCAAATATCTTTAGCCCAGGCAGGTAGATATCTTTAGCCCATGCAGGTAGATATCTTTAGCCCCTTTAGGTAGATATCTTTAGCCCCGGCAGGTAGATATCTTTATCCCATGCAGGTAGATATCTTTAGCCCCGGCAGGCAGATATGTTTAGCCCATGCAGGTAGATATCTTTAGCCAATGCAGATAGATATCTTTAGCCCATGCAGGTAGATATCTTTAGCCCATGCAGGTAGATACCTTTAGCCCATGCAGGTAGATATCTTTAGCCCATGCAGGTAGATATCTTTAGCCCATGCAGGTAGATATCTTTAGCCCCGGCAGGTAGATATCTTTAGTCCCGGCAGGTAGATATCTTTAGCCCCGGCGGGTAGATATCTTTAGCCCCGTCAGGTAGATATCTTTAGCCCCGGCAGGTAGATATCTTTAGCCCCGGCAGGTAGATATCTTAAGTCCCGGCAGGCAGATATCTTTAGCCCCGGCAGGCAGATATCTTTAGTCCCGGCAGGTAGATATCTTTAGTCCCGGCAGGTAGATATCTTTAGTCCCGGCAGGTAGATATCTTTAGTCCCGGCAGGTAGATATCTTTAGTCCCGGCAAGCAGATATCTTTAGTCCCGGCAGGTAGATATCTTTAGCCCATGCAGGTAGATATATTTAGCTCCGGCAGGTAGATATCTATAGCCCCGGCCGGTAGATATCTTTATCCCATGCAGGTAGATAACTTTAGCCCCGGCAGGCAGATATCTTTAGCCCCGGCAGGTAGATATCTTTAGCCCCGGCAGGCAGATATCTTTAGTCCCTTTAGGTAGATATCTTTAGCCCCTTTAGGTAGATATCTTTAGCCCCGGCAGGCAGATATCTATAGCCCCGGCAGGTAGATATCTTTAGCCCTTTTAGGTAGATATCTTTAGCCCCGGCAGGTAGATATCTTTAGTCCCGGCAAGCAGATATCTTTAGTCCCGGCAGGTAGATATCTTTATCCCATGCAGGTAGATATCTTTAGCCCCGGCAGGCAGATATCTTTAGCCCCGGCAGGTAGATATCTTTAGCCCCGGCAGGCAGATATCTTTAGTCCCTTTAGGTAGATATCTTTAGCCCCTTTAGGTAGATATCTTTAGCCCCGGCAGGTAGATATCTTTAGCCCATGCAGGTAGATATCTTTAGCCCATGCAGGTAGATACCTTTAGCCCATGCAGGTAGATATCTTTAGCCCATGCAGGTAGATATCTTTAGCCCATGCAGGTAGATACCTTTAGCCCATGCAGGTAGATATCTTTAGCCCATGCAGGTAGATATCTTTAGCCCATGCAGGTAGATATCTTTAGCCCATGCAGGTAGATATCTTTAGCCCCGGCAGGTAGATATTTTTAGCCCCGGCAGGTAGATATCTTTAGTCCCGGCAGGTAGATATCTTTAGCCCATGCAGGTAGATATCTTAAGCCCCGGCAGGTAGATATCTTTAGCCCATGCAGGTAGATATCTTTAGCCCATGCAGGTAGATACCTTTAGCCCATGCAGGTAGATATCTTTAGCCCATGCAGGTAGATATCTTTAGCCCATGCAGGTAGATACCTTTAGCCCATGCAAGTAGATATCTTTAGCCCATGCAGGTAGATATCTTTAGCCCATGCAGGTAGATATCTTTAGCCACGGCCGGTAGATATCTTTATCCCATGCAGGCAGATATCTTTAGCCCCGTCAGGCAGATATCTTTAGCCCCGGCCGGTAGATATCTTTATCCCATGCAGGCAGATATCTTTAGCCCCAGCAGGTAGATATCTTTAGCCCCGGCAGGTAGATATCTTTAGCCCCGGCAGGTAGATATCTTTAGACCCGTCAGGTAGATATCTTTAGCCCCGGCAGGTAGATATCTTTAGCCCCGGCAGGTAGATATCTTTAGCCCTGGCAGGTAGATATCTTTAGTCCCGGCAGGTAGATATCTTTAGTCCCGGCAGGCAGATATCTTTAGTCCCGGCAGGCAGATATCTTTAGCCGATGCAGGAAGATATCTTTAGCCCCGGCAGGTAGATATCTTTAGCCCCGGCAGGTAGATATCTTTAGCCCCGGCAGGTAGATATCTATAGCCCCGGCCGGTAGATATCTTTATCCCATGCAGGTAGATATCTTTAGCCCCGGCAGGTAGATATCTTTAGCCCCGGCAGGCAGATATGTTTAGCCCCGGCAGGTAGATATCTTTAGCCCCGGCAGGCAGATATCTTTAGTCCCTTTAGGTAGATATCTTTAGCCCCTTTAGGTAGATATCTTTAGCCCCGGCAGGTAGATATCTTTATCCCATGCAGGTAGATATCTATAGCCCCGGCAGGCAGATATCTTTAGTCCCCTTAGGTAGATATCTTTAGCCCCTTTAGGTAGATATCTTTAGCCCCGGCAGGCAGATATCTATAGCCCCGTCAGGTAGATATCTTTAGCCCTTTTAGGTAGATATCTTTAGCCCAGGCAGGTAGATATCTTTAGCCCCGGCAGGTAGATATCTTTATCCCCGGCAGGTAGATATCTTTAGCCCCGGCAGGCAGATATCTATAGCCCCGGCAGGTAGATATCTTTAGCCCTTTTAGGTAGATATCTTTAGCCCAGGCAGGTAGATATCTTTAGCCCATGCAGGTAGATATCTTTAGCCCCGGCAGGTAGATATCTTTAGCCCATGCAGGTAGATATCTTTAGCCCATGCAGGTAGATACCTTTAGCCCATGCAGGTAGATATCTTTAGACCATGCAGGTAGATATCTTTAGCCCATGCAGGTAGATACCTTTAGCCCATGCAGGTAGATATCTTTAGCCCATGCAGGTAGATATCTTTAGCCCATGCAGGTAGATATCTTTAGCCCATGCAGGTAGATATCTTTAGCCCCGGCAGGTAGATATTTTTAGCCCATGCAGGTAGATATCTTTAGCCCATGCAGGTAGATACATTTAGCCCATGCAGGTAGATATCTTTAGCCCATGCAGGTAGATATCTTTAGCCCATGCAGGTAGATATCTTTAGCCCATGCAGGTAGATATCTTTAGCCCATGCAGGTAGATATCTTTAGCCCCGGCAGGTAGATATTTTTAGCCCCGGCAGGTAGATATATTTAGTCCCGGCAGGCAAATATCTTAAGCCCCGGCAGGTAGATATCTTTAGCCCCGGCAGGTAGATATCTTTAGCCCCGTCAGGTAGATATCTTTAGCCCCGGCAGGTAGATATCTTTAGTCCCGGCAGGTAGATATCTTTAGCCCCGGCAGGTAGATATCTTTAGCCCCGGCAGGTAGATATCTTTAGTCCCGGCAGGCAGATATCTTTAGTCCCGGCAGGTAGATATCTTTAGCCCCGGCAGGTAGATATCTTTATCCCCGGCAGGTAGATATCTTTAGCCAATGCAGGTAGATATCTTTAGCCCCGGCAGGTAGATATCTTTAGCCTATGCAGGTAGATATCTTTAGCCCCGGCAGGTAGATATCTTTAGCCCCGGCAGGTAGATATCTTTAGCCCCGTCAGGTAGATATCTTTAGCCCCGGCAGGTAGATATCTTTAGTCCCGGCAGGCAGATATCTATAGCCCCGGCCGGTAGATATCTTTATCCCAGGCAGGTAGATATCTTTAGCCCATGCAGGTAGATATCTTTAGCCCCGGCAGGCAGATATCTTTAGTCCCGGCAGGTAGATATCTTTAGCCCCGGCAGGCAAATATCTTTAGCCCCTTTAGGTAGATATCTTTAGACCCAGCAGGTAGATATCACAGGTAGATATCTTTAGACCCGATTGGTCCCGGCAGGTAGATATCTTTGGTCCCGGCAGGCAGATATCTTTAACCCCTGCAGGTAGATATCTTTTACCAAACCCGCCCCTACGCTAGATAATTAATTACGTCAAGACCCCTGCTGTCTGTAATTAAATTATTAGAATGCATAACTGGCACAACGTTAAACCAATTAGCGCATGCGTATGTGTGTCTGTAAGTGTGTGTACGTTTATGTGTGTTTGTGTGTGTGATTGTATATGTATGTGGGTGTGCTAGTGTGTGTGTGTGTGTGTGCTAGTGTGTGTGCGAATGTGTTTCTTGACGTCGAGTCCGCCGAGATAAGACTGACCGTGACGTAACAGGTGTCTCACCTGCTAAACGTCCGAACAACGCTGACGACGTGCCGTAAAGTGCGGGAAAGGTCTTGCTTGCAGACGTCACGCCTTAGGGTCAGGGTCACGTGATGACGTCCAGTAACGCTGTGCTTTGTGTCGTCTGCAGGATAACAGTTTTTCTGAGGTGAATCAAAAACTTCTGGGGAAAAAAGACGAAAAGGTTAGTCAGCTTTTGATTGGTTAAAAATTACACCCCACCCTTTCCGCTGTTTATTTAACAAACAACACTTTATAGTAACCCCATTCAGAAATTATCGCGTTATGACTAAGTTTAAGCCACTGCTCTCTATGATAATCTTAGAACAGCAACCCTTTATTAACAACATAACTAAATAACTTCCTCCCCCTTATAAATGGCAATCATTTGTAAATAATCTGAGTTTGTTTTTGTTTTTTTTAAAGTTTCCTGTAATATTTTCCTTTTAAAAAATATTAATAAATGTAGGCTACATCTATCTTAAGATTTAATTAGTTTTTTTACGAATACGCTTTTTAATACCACAACTAAATAAACCGGGAGTGATCTCCCCTAAACTTTCTCGAATATTTTTATATAAAATAACAGGGGATGGAAACTCGGGCTATAGACATGATTTTTAATCCATTTTAAATACTTAAAGTTTTAAAAATAGAATAAAATCTCGTAGACAAAAGAATTGCACACCAAGTGAACGCTAAATAAAAAAATGCATAATAGTGCGCAATATTATTAGTACTTTAAAAATTTACATTAGTTTTTTGAGAAATCGGAAGTAGCGTAAATTACTACTTCCGGTCAACGGAAATGACTCAAAATTTAACAGAAGGTAGAGAATTAGATCTTTTACTTACATGTGAAATTTCGTTTATCTATCTGAAATAGTACTCAAGTTATAGGCTTTTGAAAATTTCAAAGTAGGAAAAGTACCACTTTTGGTTATCGGAAATCGCTCAAAAGTTGATACGGATCTACGATTTTGATAAAATACTTATATATGAAATGTCATCAACCTAGCTGTAACAGTACTCAAGTTATCGTGTTTACACACACACACACACAGACAGACAGACACAGACAGACACACAGACATACGGACAAGATTGCAAAATTATGTTTTTCCGTATCAGTGAGATGTAAAACGTCGAGATTTGTAAAAATCTCGATTTTTTTTTTTTGCACGATTACAAGACTTTCTCTATACTTCTTATATACGAGAAAGTAAAAACACTCGACCATTACAAAAACTTTCTTTAACAGCTTTACAATACAACATCTTATAAATCTATTTCATATTACTTCTAATGATTATATATATATATATATATATATATATATATATATATATATATATATATATGAATCTGCGACTGTGTTCAATTGCAACAATTAATTAATCAAACCCATCCAAGCATGATCCTGTCCCAAACGCCGCTCCACTGATGATGTCTTGAAGGGAGGATTGCCCCCTCACACCCCCTAGAGACGCCAATGATAATAACTCCATACAGTTTCGTACACTGCCACAACCTAAACACAGATACCAGAGCTTCAGAAAACAACAAACGAAACTTTAAAGTGCAATACAATCGTCAAAAAAACAAAACTGGCACCAAATCCTAGAACACAATACATGAATGTTTAAAAACAAGCCTCGACCTTCCCCAACAACTAACAAAGGCTATTGTTGGGAGTAGTGAACATATTAAAAAGGAAATGGAATTACTAGAAACAGCAACTATGTAAAATTACTGTGAAAATATATTACTTTAATGTGACAATTAGTTCATGTTTATAGTTAGGATTAATGTCAATGCGTTTGTTAAATCAGATTCCAAGCTCACAGTATACTAGCAGTAAGTGCATAGGTTTTATTGGTTAAATATTTTAAACATTTTTACACGCGTTATTTGTATTCAGAGTGTGAAAAAAAAATGAAATGTTGTTGGTTTTGCATTAAGTGTTATTGCTATATATTTTTTCTATTTGACCATTGGAAAAATTATTTAAAATAAAAACTATAGGTTGTTCGCATCCCTATGTAAAGTGAAAAGCATACATTTTATTTCATACTAGCTGCAGTGCCCGGCCTAGTCCGAGATGTTGCATTTTATTGAAAGTAGGCTGAAGTAAATTTATTACAGTGAAATTAACACAATATCAAACATCAAAGAAACTAAAACTAACGGAAAAGACATTGTTTTTCATCAACACCCAAATAAAATAGGTCAACTGTAAAAATCTACTAATCCAGTTTTAAGTTTCAGACATGCGAAAATATTATTTTTAGCTTTGTTTTGATTTCGCGAAGATGACTATAATGGCTGTTGTGCTGGTGTCTATTTAGTTGAGATGTATTTTGTTTTTTTTTTCTATCCACCGTCTCGAGTGACAGCTTTTGTATTGTCCTCAGATGGTTCATACGTTCGCACCCTCGCCACTAGACTCGCCAAACGGGGTTGTTCTGAAAAGTCTCACCGAGATAGATCCGGAAAACGCAAAGCGTGAAGAGGGTGTGGAGGCGGAGGTCGCGGGCCCCCCGTCTAAAGGCTGCTACGTGGCGTGCGTGGAGGGCGTGGAGCGGTGCGTGGGTCGGCTCTACAAGACAACACGGGGTTACCTCCACGCTGGGGTCAGGGCCACTGTCATCTTGGCGTATTACGCCTATTTTTCCTACTGCATGTACTACAGGTAGGTAGACATTATACTATGTTAGCATGCTTCGTTGAGTTTTAGCACTACCGTTTGTGTTTGTAGACCAAGTGTACACTACAAATGGTATGGTTCGGTAAGGCTAACGAGGGGAATAGTAATACGCTACAAGAAGCCTAATCACAACTACATCCTTCCCCATACATCCATACATATAAACACACACACACACACACACACACACACACATATATATATATATATATATATATATATATATATATATATATATATATATATATATATATATATATATATATATATATATATATATATATATAATTTTACCCGGGGGTTACAATCCCATCGACCACCATAGAGATGGCTGTCTACGTAACATTTACCAAATTGTTGTTCTCCCAGGTTCGGTGATGAGGGGTCAATACTGCTGCTGATTGGTACGTCGCTGTTTACCATCTGGGCAGTGAGGAAGTGTCTGGCATCCAAATGTCACGTGATGACCATCCCGAAATGTATAAGAGCGTGCGAGGTGCCTCGAAGGGCAAAGCGTGCCTTACGTTGGTCAGTATGGGACAGTTGTCCAACATTGTTTCACTTTAGAATTGCGGGTTGTTATTTTTTAAAGTCAATTCTTGAATTTTAAACATTCTTGTTTACACCAGTGGCTATAAAAAAATGATTCATATTTCGTTAATATTTAAAGTCAAGTTCACAGTTTTTTTACTAGAAAAATAATATTTTTTAAAATTTTTATGACAGGGCCTTGTATCTGATAGCCCTGTCTGGGCTTGTGATCTACATCGCTCTACGTATCCTGCCCAGCCACCCACAGAACTGCCAGTCTCTACTGGGGATCGTCGTCATCATCGTCGTTTGTTTCGTCATCTCCACCAAAGCCAGTCGTGTAGGTCTCCGTAAAATTAACGTTTACTGTCTGTCTCTCTGTATTTTCTATTTACCCTCGCTATCTTAGAATGCTGTGTGATTATTGGACCGTAAAAATAATAAAACACTTTTATATTCTAGTACTTATTATTCTTATTAATTATTATTTTACAACCGTCGTTATTATCATGATACATATAATGGATCTCTTTTTATAAATATTAATTGCATTAACTTATTACCATTATTGCCTTTATCATTGTTATTATTATTAAATTTTTCTTTGTTCGTGGGGGAGGGGTTAAGGTAGGATAGTTACCTTATTCACGTTAAAATTCAATTATCATAAGATCTATTATTGAAATGGTATATTATATATAATATATATATATATATATATATATATATATATATATATATATATATATATATATATATATATATATATATATATATATATATATATATATATATATATGTACAGGTGAACTGGCACCCGGTGTTCTGGGGATTTATCATCCAGTATGTGTTCGCCATGTTGACGTTGAGGACAAAGGTGGGCTACACCATCTTCATGCGACTTGGTGAACTGGTAACCTCCCTTGTCAGCTTCTCTGATTACGGCGCCGCCTTCGTCTTGGGCCGCAACTTCCGGGAAATGGGTCTGGCATTCAATGTATGTTGGTGGTGGACATTACGTGGTGATGTTGTGTGGTGGTGGGCATTGTGTGGTGATGGTGCGTGGTGATGTGTGGTGATGTTGTGTGGCGATGTTGGGTGGTGATGTTGTGTGGTGGTGGACATTGTGTGGTGATGTTGTATGGTGATGTTGTGTGGTGATGTTGTCGTGTTAGTGGTGTGTGGTGATGTTGTGTGGTGATGTTGTGTGGTGTTGTGTTGTGGTGTTGTGAGGCGATGTTGTGTGGTGGTGTTATGTGGTGTTGTTGTGTGGTGTTGTTGTGTGGTGTTGTTGTGTGGTGATGATGGGCATAGTCTGTGTCGTAACGTTATGTGGTCATTTGTGGATACAGTGTGTGTGATGATGGTGGCCACAGACTGTTTGTTAAAGTTGTGTGTGGTGGACATTGTGTGGTGATGTTGTGTGTTGGTGGTGGCCGTTGTGTGGTGATGTTGTGTTGTGATGTTGTGTGGTAGTGGTGGACATAGTGTGGTGATGTGCGTTGGTGGTGGACATAGTGAGGTGATGTTGTGTGTTGGTGGTGGACATAGTCTGCTTGAAATGGTGTGGAGATCTTGTGTTGAACTTGTATGGTATGAAGCAAGTTTATTTATTATATTGTATGAAGACCTAAATATTTGTTCCTGAATGTTGTGTTATTGTATGTTGAATTAGCGTCACGCAAGTACACAAATTCCACTTCTATTTTTAGGCAGGAGTTGTCATCATCTTCTTCAACGCAATCATCTTTCTGCTGATTCACTGGGGCGTTCTAGAAAATGTAGTGGTCAAGCTGGGTAGGACACTGTCCTACTGTTTGGACACAGGTCCTGTGGAATCTGTCGTGGCCGTGGCCAATATTTTCATTGGACTGGTAAGTAGGTCTTTAATTAAGCAAATAATTAATTGGACTGGTAAGTAGGTCGTTAATGACGCAAATAATTAATTGGACAGGTAAGTAGGTCTCTAATGACGCAAATAATAAATTGGACTGGTAAGTAGGTCTTTAATGACGCAAATATTAATTGGACTGGTAAGTAGTTCGTCAATGACGCCAATATTTTCATTTAAATTTGATTGGTTCTCTGTCCTTAGTATACATCTATTATTTGATTTGTCTAACACTATCTGTTCCATCTGGCCAGGCTGAGGCCCCTCTCCTGGTGAGGAACTACCTGCCTACACTGAGCAAGTCTGAGATTTGTGCCATCATGACCTGTGGGTTTGCCAGTGTCTCCGGTGGTGCTATGGGCATGTTTATCAGTGCTGGGGTAAGTGCTAGGTGTTATGGGCATGTTTATCAGTGCTGGGGTAAGTGCTAGGTGCTATGGGCATGTTTATCAGTGCTGGGGTAAGTGCTAGGTGCTATGGGCATGTTTATCAGTGCTGGGGTAAGTGCTAGGTGCTATGGGCATGTTTATCAGTGCTGGGATAAGTGCTAGGTGCTATGGGCATGTTTATCAGTGCTGGGATAAGTGCTAGGTGTTATGGGCATGTTTATCAGTGCTGGGGTAAGTGCTAGGTGCTATGGGCATGTTTATCAGTGCTGGGATAAGTGCTAGGTGCTATGGGCATGTTTATCAGTGCTGGGGTAAGTGCTATGTGCTATGGGCATGTTTATCAGTGCTGGGATAAGTGCTAGGTGCTATGGGCATGTTTATCAGTGCTGGAGTAAATGTTAATTGTATTGTCGGTGTCAATGGTAAACGTATATGATGGTTGTGGTATTAACATGGCACAGCACGTGAAAGTACCAGAAGAAAGTTTACTTAAGGCCGATAATCACCACCATCTCTTATATCGGTAGGCCCCGGCTAACCACCTGCTTACCGCAGCCGTAATCTCAGCTCCTGCAGCTCTGGCTATATCGAAGCTGGTGTGTCCGGAGACGGAGCCGGTTAACTTTGAGTCCCAGAATGATGTCCGTATGACAGACAAATCCAGGTGAGAAAACTGGCTGACGACAAACATCAAACAACCACCCAGTTAAACTGAGATTAATTACAAACAGGATACATTTTATTTGTATTTTAACATTGATCATAGCTGTAACCAACTTAAGTATGCTGATGTGTCTGTGTATGATTCCAGTTCTAAATGCTGATGTGTGTGTGTATGACTCCAGTTCTAAATGCTGATGTGTCTGTGTATGACTCCAGTTCTAAATGCTGATCTGTTTGTGTACCACTCCAGTTCTAAATGCTGATCTGTTTGTGTACCACTCCAGTTCTAAATGCTGATGTGTGTGTGTACGATTCCAGTTCTAAATACTGATGTGTCTGTGTATGATTCCAGTTCTAAATGCTGATGTGTCTGTGTACGAATCCAGTTCTAAATGCTGATGTGTGTGTGTACGATTCCAGTTCTAAATGCTGATGTGTGTGTGTATGACTCCAGTACTAAATGCTGAAGTGTGTGTGTACGATTCCAGTTCTAAATACTGATGTGTTTGTGTATGATTCCAGTTCTAAATGCTGATGTGTGTGTGTACGATTCCAGTTCTAAATGTTGATGTGTGTGTGTGTGTATGACTCCAGTTCTAAATGCTGATGTGTCTCTGTACGATTCCAGTTCTAAATGCTGATGTGTTTGAGTACCACTCCAGTTCTAAATGCTGATGTGTGTGTATGATTCCAGTTCTAAATGCTGATGTGTCTGTGTATGACTCCAGTTCTAAATGATGATGTGTCTGTGTATGACTCCAGTTCTAAATGATGATGTGTTTGTGTATGACTCCAGTTCTAAATGCTGATGTGTCTGTGTACGATTCCAGTTCTAAATGCTGATGTGTTTGTGTATGACTCCAGTTCTAAATGCTGATGTGTCTGGTGTACGATTCCAGTTCTAAATGCTGATGTGTCTGTGTACGATTCCAGTTCTAAATGATGATGTGTTTGTGTATGACTCCAGTTCTAAATGCTGATGTGTCTGTGTACGATTCCAGTTCTAAATGCTGATGTGTTTGTGTATGACTCCAGTTCTAAATGCTGATGTGTCTGGTGTACGATTCCAGTTCTAAATACTGATGTGTTTGTGTATGATTCCAGTTCTAAATGCTGATGTGTGTGTGTACGATTCCAGTTCTAAATACTGATGTGTTTGTGTATGATTCCAGTTCTAAATGCTGATATGAGTGTGTACGATTCCAGTTCTAAATGTTGATGTGTGTGTGTGTGTATGACTCCAGTTCTAAATGCTGATGTGTCTCTGTACGAAACAAGTTCTAAATGCTGATGTGTTTGTGTACCACTCCAGTTCTAAATGCTGATGTGTGTGTATGATTCCAGTTCTAAATGCTGATGTGTCTGTGTATGACTCCAGTTCTAAATGATGATGTGTCTGTGTATGACTCCAGTTCTAAATGATGATGTGTTTGTGTATGACTCCAGTTCTAAATGCTGATGTGTCTGTGTATGACTCCAGTTCTAAATGCTGATGTGTCTGTGTACGATTCCAGTTCTAAATGCTGATGTGTTTGTGTATGACTCCAGTTCTAAATGCTGATGTGTCTGGTGTACGATTCCAGTTCTAAATGCTGATGTGTGTGTATGGCTCCAGTTCTAAATGTTGATGTGTCTGTGTATGATTCCAGTTCTAAATGCTGATGTGTCTGTGTATGATTCCAGTTCTAAATGCTGATGTGTCTGTGTATGACTCCAGTTCTAAATGATGATGTGTTTGTGTATGACTCCAGTTCTAAATAATGATGTGTCTGTGTATGACTCCAGTTCTAAATGCTGATGTGTCTGTGTACGATTCCAGTTCTAAATGCTGATGTGTGTGTGTACGATTCCAGTTCTAAATACTGATGTGTTTGTGTATGATTCCAGTTCTAAATGCTGATGTGTGTGTGTGTACGATTCCAGTTCTAAATGTTGATGTGTGTGTGTATGATTCCAGTTCTAAATGCTGATGTGTCTGTGTATGATTCCAGTTCTAAATGCTGATGTGTCTGTGTATGACTCCAGTTCTAAATGATGATGTGTTTGTGTATGACTCCAGTTCTAAATAATGATGTGTCTGTGTATGACTCCAGTTCTAAATGCTGATGTGTCTGTGTACGATTCCAGTTCTAAATGCTGATGTGTGTGTGTACGATTCCAGTTCTAAATACTGATGTGTTTGTGTATGATTCCAGTTCTAAATGCTGATGTGTGTGTGTACGATTCCAGTTCTAAATGTTGATGTGTGTGTGTGTGTATGACTCCAGTTCTAAATGCTGATGTGTCTCTGTACGATTCCAGTTCTAAATGCTGATGTGTTTGTGTACCACTCCAGTTCTAAATGCTGATGTGTGTGTATGATTCCAGTTCTAAATGCTGATGTGTCTGTGTATGACTCCAGTTCTAAATGATGATGTGTCTGTGTATGACTCCAGTTCTAAATGATGATGTGTTTGTGTATGACTCCAGTTCTAAATGCTGATGTGTCTGTGTATGACTCCAGTTCTAAATGCTGATGTGTCTGTGTACGATTCCAGTTCTAAATGCTGATGTGTTTGTGCATGACTCCAGTTCTAAATGCTGATGTGTCTGGTGTACGATTCCAGTTCTAAATGCTGATGTGTCTGTGTATGATTCCAGTTCTAAATGCTGATGTGTCTGTGTACGATTCCAGTTCTAAATGCTGATGTGTCTGTGTATGACTCCAGTTCTAAATGCTGATGTGTGTGTATGGCTCCAGTTCTAAATGCTGATGTGTTTGTGTATGATTCCAGTTCTAAATGCTGATGTGTCTGTGTATGATTCCAGTTCTAAATGCTGATGTGTCTGTGTATGACTCCAGTTCTAAATGATGATGTGTTTGTGTATGACTCCAGTTCTAAATGATGATGTGTCTGTGTATGACTCCAGTTCTAAATGCTGATGTGTCTGTGTACGATTCCAGTTCTAAATGCTGATGTGTCTGTGTATGATTCCAGTTCTAAATGCTGATGTGTCTGTGTATGACTCCAGTTCTAAATGATGATGTGTTTGTGTATGACTCCAGTTCTAAATGATGATGTGTCTGTGTATGACTCCAGTTCTAAATGCTGATGTGTCTGTGTACGATTCCAGTTCTAAATGCTGATGTGTTTGTGTATGACTCCAGTTCTAAATGCTGATGTGTGTGTGTATGACTCCAGTTCTAAATGCTGATGTGTCTGGTGTATGACTCCAGTTCTAAATGCTGATGTGTCTCTGTACGATTCCAGTTCTAAATGCTGATGTGTTTGTGTACCACTCCAGTTCTAAATGCTGATGTGTGTGTGTACGATTCCAGTTCTAAATGTTGATGTGTGTGTGTGTATGACTCCAGTTCTAAATGCTGATGTGTCTGTGTATGATTCCAGTTCTAAATGCTGATGTATTTGTGTATGACTCCAGTTCTAAATGCTGATGTGTGTGTGTACGATTAGAGTTCTAAATGTTGATGTGTTTGTGTACGATTCCAGTTCTAAATGCTGATGTGTCTGTGTACGACTCCAGTTCTAAATGCTGATGTGTGTGTGTATGACTCCAGTTCTAAATGCTGATGTGTCTGTGTACGATTCCAGTTCTAAATGCTGATGTGTCTGTGTATGATTCCAGTTCTAAATGCTGATGTGTGTGTGTACGGTTCCAGTTCTAAATGCTGATGTGTGTGTGTACGATTCCAGTTCTAAATGCTGATGTGTGTGTGTACGGTTCCAGTTCTAAATGCTGATGTGTGTGTGTACGATTCCAGTTCTAAATGCTGATGTGTCTGTGTACGGTTCCAGTTCTAAATGCTGATGTGTGTGTGTACGGTTCCAGTTCTAAATGCTGATGTGTGTGTGTACGATTCCAGTTCTAAATGCTGATGTGTCTGTGTACGGTTCCAGTTCTAAATGCTGATGTGTGTGTGTGTGTGTGTATGACTCCAGTTCTAAATGCTGATGTGTCTGTGTACGGTTCCAGTTCTAAATGCTGATGTGTGTGTGTACGATTAGAGTTCTAAATGCTGATGTGTGTGTGTACGGTTCCAGTTCTAAATGCTGATGTGTGTGTGTACGGTTCCAGTTCTAAATGCTGATGTGTCTGTGTACGGTTCCAGTTCTAAATGCTGATGTGTGTGTGTGTGTGTGTATGACTCCAGTTCTAAATGCTGATGTGTCTGTGTACGGTTCCAGTTCTAAATGCTGATGTGTGTGTGTACGATTAGAGTTCTAAATGCTGATGTGTGTGTGTACGGTTCCAGTTCTAAATGCTGATGTGTGTGTGTATGACTCCAGTTCTAAATGCTGATGTGTGTGTGTACGATTCCAGTTCTAAATGCTGATGTGTGTGTGTACGATTCCAGTTCTAAATGCTGATGTGTGTGTGTACGATTCCAGTTCTAAATGCTGATGTTAGTGTGTACGGTTCCAGTTCTAAATGCTGACGTGTCTATGTACGGTTCCAGCTCAAACCGGAACTCCTTGTCCGTGTGCTCAGAGGGGGCTGTGGCGGGGTTAAAGGTCGTGGGTGCCGTGATGGCCAACATGATGGTGTTCGTGTCCATCCTCAAGTTTATCGACGCCATCCTCGGATGGTTCGCTCTTAGAGCTGGGATACGTGGGGTGACGTTTGCCGTGAGTTGTGTCATAGATAGGAGTTGTTGTTTTTTTGTCTTAGCCTGTACTATTAGTCTTAGTCGAGACTTTTTGCCCTTTTTTTTTATTTGTCGTAAAATAAATAATTTAACAACCAATGAAACAAGTTTAGAAGAAACACCAAATTTATTCAAATGAAATCTAATGAAATAAAAAAATACTACCAACTAACAGTAAACGTATGTACATATAATATAACATTATTTGACTACTGATTGTTTTCTCTATAACAGACGATCTGCGCTTACATCCTCTACCCCCTCTCCTACATCATGGGGGCGGAGCCTGAAGACTGCGGCACTATCGGGACTTTAATTGGCATTAAGCTCTTTGCCACGCCCATGGTGGGTTACGCTGAGCTAGGAAAGCTCATCAAAGTAAGCTCCGGGGCTTAAGTGTGATTATAGATTATTGTCAAGTTTTGTTAATTATTTACAGATTTTTAAAAATTGTATTAACTAGACAGTCGCAAGATTGGCTCCTGTAGAAAATCGATGAGTCTACCCAGCTCTAATGAATACCTGGCACGAGTTGGAGGAAAGTAAAGGCTAAAAGCGGAAAAATGATTGAACTGACAACGCTGTACCTTCATCTGACCCTTACAAAACTACTCAACTTTATCTGTCTTATTGATGTAACGGCCAGAATTGCTAACTTTATTTTACAATGTTTGTAGAGTTTTGTTTTCTTTTCTTTATTTTACAAAGTTTGTATGGTTTTGTTTTCTTATTTCTAAGAACAGGCACAAGTTTGAGGACTACATGTCTCTCGGTAACAGAACTTGGCACTGGTCAGGGACTGACGTCATACTGGATAATCTCAACACGACTTTAATCGGAGGGTTTATGTCAGTAAGTTTGTAGCTCATCTGTGAACATACATCGATCAAATTTGACAGAGCTTTTTTTATAAACATAACATTGAATAGATAGAATAAAATATATAAATTATTTATTTAATTGAAGTCTTCACTATATAACTACAAGCGGACCAACATTATGCAGATGTATCCTTCTAAACCAAATTGAAATTAAAAAAACTTTAAAGGTAACAAAACTTCAAGGGACATAACTTTATTTTTACAACAATGTACTAATTATCTCTCTTAGTTACTGGATTTTTAACTTTAAAAAAAATGTTCAATCTTTTTATCAAAGTGTAATTGTAATTCAACGTAAACAATAAATTGTTTCTAGGAGCGTTCCGAGGTCATCGCGACCTACTCAATGTGCGGCTTCTCTGCCTTCACTGCCATCGGCATTTGTATCGGTACGATGGTGGCCATGTGTCCTGCCAGGAAGGACGACATCATCGAAATGGTGCTGCTGGCATTCTTCGCTGGGAACGTCGCTAGCTTCGCCACGGGTGCTGTCGCAGGTTGGTCAATACTGGTCAACATCTACATCAACATCATCTACATCACGGGTTCCCAAACTGGGGGTCGCTACCCCCCCCCCCCCCACGAAGGGCTTTCTTGGGGGTCGCCAACTGGTAGACTAAACCTAGCAATGAAATAAAAAGCAACATATTTAGAAGAATATCTGAAATTCGGATTTACTAACATCACAATGGAAATGGAATAAAAATAAACAATGCGTACTGTGCAAATTTGTTCTTAGTCATGAGTTTATGAAGATTTCAAAGCTAATACGGCATTTTGAGAATAGTCATTCGGAACACAACAAAAAAGATTTGGAGTTCTTTCGTCGGCATGAAGCTAATTGCAAAAGTCAGAGACTTTGTCGAACAGTAAGTTTTCACCAAGAAAAAATAGCTTAAGTGAAAGCATCATAGGAAGTCGCATTAGATATTGTCAAGCAAAAAAAAAACCTCACACAATCAAGCTTTCAACATTGTTTGCTTTTCAAGTTGATAACTCAACAGACGTAAGTTCGTTTTACAAGTTTTTTGTCTTTGTAAAATATATTCATTCGGATGATGGCAAAGAAGAGTTGATATTTTTTGAAGATATCATGGAGAAAATAAATACGTTTTTTTTTAAACTGGATGATTAAAATGGGAAAACGGGTGTGGGGTTTGTATGGATGGTGCGTCATGTTTGGGTCAAAGTCGAGCTTTCAAAAAGTAAAAGATGTAGCTCCCTAATAAAGGGCAATCCAAAAAGAGTGGTTGGAGAGAGTATCATTCCTAGGCAGACAAATTCGAACATCAACATAAGCTTAACCTGAAAAACTACGAATATTTTCTCTTTTCGTGATAATCTCTTGGCATTTTTATCAAAGCTGTAAAATTGGAGAAGAAAAATAAATGTTGAAAATATTGCCATGTTTGAGAAACTCTGCAGTGTGGTAGATGAATCTGATTGTGAGATAAATAAAAGTTTTGAAAGCAGATTCTGGGCACCTTGAATCTCTTGAAAACGAACTGTGGCGCTATTTTCCCTGAGCTGAAAGAAGAAGAATCTGCATTGACACGTTACCCATCCTCTGTTTCCCTTGATGTTGCCAAGATTCCCGATGAATTACAAGATGGATTCTAAAATTTGCGGAATGATTCCGCGTCAGGTATAATGTTAAATGAAAAACTGCTCAAGCAATTTTAGAGTAGTATACACCGTTCATACCAAAACGTGAAATCGATTGCCTTTCAAGTTTTAGTTCCTTTTGTGTCTACACATCTTTGCGAGAATAGATTTTCAACACTTCTCCAATTAAAAACAAAACAAAGAAATAAATTAAAAGCTGAGAATGACATGAGGTTGGCGTTAACAAAAACTCAACCACGAATGTTGAGGCTAGTGAATAGCATTCAATTTCACCCATCGCATTAAAACAGTTAACAAGAATAATTAATTTAGAAAGTCTACTAGAAAATCGTATTGTTAGTGCTTATTAATTTCTTCACTAATTTCGACTTTTTAATTCTATGGGGGTCGCGGGTCACGTATGTTTTATAAAAGGGGGTCGCCACTCGAAAAAGTTTGGGAACCACTGATCTACATCATCTACATCATCTACATCATCAATTATCTACATCATCTACATCATCTGCATCAACTACATCAACTACATCATCTACATCATCTACGTCATCTACATCATCTACATCATCTACATCATCTACATCATCTACATCATCTACATCATCTACATCATCTACATCATCTACATCATCTACATCATCTACATCATCTACATCATCTACATCATCAATCATCTACATCATCTACATCAACTATATCAACTACATCATCTACATCATCTACGTCATCTACATCATCTACATCATCTACATCATCTACATCATCTACATCATCTACATCATCTACATCATCTACATCATCCACATTCACATCCAGATCCACACCCAGGCCTACAACTGCGCCTATACCTGCATCTTCATATAAATGTATGTTTTATTTATATATGTTTATACAGACAATCATGCTAACATATCAAAATACATCATGATGTTCTTCTATAATTTTCAGGCCTGCTGTTTGAGACTTCACTACAAAAGTAAAAACTTCACAATAAAAGACAGAAAACATTCTCTCACCCCCACATCTTTGAAAGCACAAGTTACAATAACTATCTGATAGAGTAGTGTTCAAGAGTTGTGTTAAAATCTATTGTTACATATTACGAGTACAGCGATATAAGAAAACGGTTGCTTGCGGCTGACTGGGCGTGTTTTAGTTTTGTTTCGCTAATAGTTGGTTACGGTTGTGCTGGGTAGTGGGGGTAGTGGAGGTAGTGAAGGGAGGGGGGTAGTGGGGCTAGTATTGGCTATGGTGGGCAGTGCTGAGTAGTGGGAGGGGGTGGTATTACCGGGTAGTTATGGGTAGTGGAGGGTAGAGGGGGTAGGGAGTGGTAGTAGAGAGAAGTGGTGAGCAATAGCTGGCAGTATTTCATTCGAGGTAAAAGACATCTGGGTTGTCGTAGTTCATATAAATACAGCTTAAAAAATTATATTAAAATGTTACATATATGTACATATTTTGTTTATTAAAAAATGCATTCCTACATAGAGATAATTAATCATTGTTTTTGCTAGGGATCAAAGTCAATACATTGATCTTTATGCATTTGTTGTCGTCTGTTTTTGTATGTATGTTGATGATATGCTGCGCCCATAAAGCATGGAAAAGGGTGCAGACAGAAGACCAATATAAACAGTTGTAAACATGTCGTAAACATTCAGACAGGAAGTCTATTGGGTTATGGTTGGTCACATGGTCCTGGTTAAACATGCACTATACGCATGTCATTTTTAATGAGGGAGGATAGAGGAACTAAATTTGCTGAAACCATTCAACAATGTTGAATATATATATATATATATATATATATATATATATATATATATATATATATATATATATATATATATATATATATATATATATATATATATATATAAGTTAGATAAACTCATTTTTAAAATGAAGGATTGTGTAATGAATGTTTTAAAATTTTGATTGAATGAACCAACGGTCCCACCAACGGTCCCACCAACGGTCCCGCCAATGGTCTCACCAATATCCACACCAATGGTCCCACAAACGGTCCCACCAACTGTCAAAACAGCGCAGTCGTCCGGTCTCAGGTTCGTGTTGCAAATAGATGTCACATTGAACCAGCCTTGTAAGAGACGCCACCACCCACCCACTCCCCCCTCACACACACAGTAGTACGCTTACTTACACATGTGCGAATACACACACACACATTACACATCCACTCACTCACACATACGCGCACGCACTTACATATAAACACGCTCATACAAGCGCAGTATCACACTCATATTTAGCACAAATGTCCAACGGTCTTAACTCGGTTGTTAAAATATCCCTATGTTTAAAAAAAAAAATATATATATATATATATATATATATATATATATATATATATATATATATATATATATATATATATATATATATATATATATATATTATTTACTACGTGACTTTAATTAAAAACTGACTTTAATTATGGCGAACTCCGCATTATTTACTACAGCTGACATAAATAATCACATATAAATAGAAGGACTTTTTTGTACTAAAATAATTGGGTGTTCTGATCTTTATCTTAACATTCCCTGTTGGTTTATTTTCAGAACCACGGGGTTATATTTCACCTTACAGAGTTTTTAAATGCTTTAAAATATGAAATTTATTGCTGACGCGAACTAGCGTCTTTCATGTGGACTCTCGTAGGTCATACACACCTCTCTAGTGTAAGGTCATACACACCTGTCCAGTGTAAGGTCATACACCTCTATAATGTAAGGTCATACACACCTCTATAATGTAAGGTCTTACACACCTCTATAATGTAAGGTCATACACACCTCTCTAGTGTAGGGTCATACACACCTGTCCAGTGTAAGGTCATACACACCTAATGTAAGGTCATACACACCTCTCTAGTGTAAGGTCATACACACCTCTCCAGTGTAAGGTCATACACACCTCTATAATGTAAGGTCATACACACCTCTCTAGTGTAAGGTCATACACACCTGTCCAGTGTAAGGTCATACACACCTGTCCAGTGTAAGGTCATACACACCTGTCCAGTGTAAGGTCATACACACCTCTCCCATGTAAGGTCATACACACCTGTCCAGTGTAAGGTCATACACACCTCTCCCATGTAAGGTCATACACCTCTATAATGTAAGGTCTTACACACCTCTATAATGTAAGGTCATACACACCTCTCCAGTGTAAGGTCATACACACCTCTCCAGTGTAAGGTCATACACACCTCTCCAGAGTAAGGTCATACACACCTCTATAATGTTATGTCATACACACCTCTAGTATAAGGTCATACACACCTCTCCAGAGTAAGGTCATACACACCTCTATAATTTTATGTCATACACACCTCTAGTATAAGGTCATACACACCTCTCCAGAGTAAGGTCATACACACCTCTATAATGTTATGTCATACACACCTCTAGTATAAGGTCATACACACCTCTCCAGAGTAAGGTCATACACACCTCTATAATGTTATGTCATACACACCTCTAGTATAAGGTCATACACACCTCTCCAGTGTAAGGTCATACACACCTCTCCAGTGGACTTTGTGGATTATTTCTTGGACCACAACACTCCGCCTACATGTGCTTCATTCAACTGATTATTTTCTTGTTTTGTTAGCACTTAACCACTTTTTTCTTTCAATTGGGGGGGGGGGGCGGGTTTGGTTGGGGATGGGGGTCAATCTAATGGCATCGCTAACGCTGTTCTCTATGATTTACTAGTCGGGACTAAATACCTTACGACATCCGCTTACCTAATGTTAGTAAAGAACGTTAAAGATGTTTTTTCTCTACTGCTGTTTGACAGGTTTCGTTGCATGTGATGATTTTGGTCGGCGAGGCTAGTGTTAGCCCGGGCATGGCCTAGCCGGTTTGGGTTGAGTTTGGTGCGTGCGATGGGTGTAAGGACTAGAGTAGCACATGATGTTTCTAGGCCCAAGTGTCGCACGCGGTGTGTCTAGGCCCAAGTGTCGCACGCGGTGTGTCTATGACCAAGTGTCGCACGCGGTGTCTAGGACAAACTGTCGCACACTGTGTCTTGGTCAAAGTGTCAGACGCGGTGTGTCTAGGGGCAAGTGTCGCACGCGGTGTATCTATGTCCAAGTGTCGCACACTGTGTCTATGACCAAGTGTCGCACGCAATGTGTCTATGACCAAGTGTCGCACGCGGTGTCTAGGACAAACTGTCGCACACTGTGTCTATGACCAAGTGTCGCACACGGTGTCTATGACCAAGTGTCGCACGCGGTGTGTCTAGGCCCAAGTGTCGCACGCGGTGTGTCTAGGCCCAAGTGTCGCACGCGGTGTGTCTAGGCCCAAAGTGTCGCACACTGTGTCTTGGTCAAAGTGTCAGACGCGGTGTGTCTAGGGGCAAGTGTCGCACGCGGTGTATCTATGTCCAAGTGTCGCACACTGTGTCTATGACCAAGTGTCGCACGCAATGTGTCTATGACCAAGTGTCGCACGCGGTGTCTAGGACAAACTGTCGCACACTGTGTCTATGACCAAGTGTCGCACGCGGTGTGTCTAGGCCCAAGTGTCTCACGTTGTGTTTTGCATAAGTTATCTAGTTTGTTACTTCAAAATTATCATCAAACCAAATTTATTCGTACGATAGACTCACGTGGTCGACAAGAGAAGCTGATTATGCAGGATATAGAAGGTCATAGATGGGAAATCCAACGCAGCTAGTCACAGATGTCATCTACGATCGACTTAGTACATCAAGTTAAATGTCTCGATAACAAATAAATAAATAAATATATATATATATATATATATATATATATATATATATATATATATATATATATATATATATATATATATATATATATATATATATATATATATTTATATTTATATTTATATTTATATTTATATTTATATTTATATTTATATTTATATTTATATTTATATTTATATTTATATTTATATTTATATTTATATTTATATATATATGTTTTTTTTAATTCGGCTATTCAGCTAAATTCGAAACGTATAGACAGCTGTTTGCTAGAGCCAGCTCCCCGACCACACACCACGCCCTCCGCCCGCCCCATCCCTCACAACCCCCCCCCCCCCACGTCCTGTTGCATTAACCAGACCGGCAGACAAACAACCACACGACCTTCAGCCAACTTGTATTCCTTTTCTCCCTCATTAAAAACCAATATTTTCACGTCAAATGTAACCGACAGCAGACCAACACTTCAACACGTCCAACACATTCCCTAACGTTTCCCTTACAAAACTGCACCCTTTTTATCACGTTCACACCAACACGAAATTTAAAAAAAATGAAATTGAAAAGTCCACCCAAAAAAAACTGGTATCCACCCATAAAAAGGTGTTAATCCCTCAAACCTTTAAAGGTGAATACGCTTCAGAATTCGTTTCCCTTTTTTGTGCGTCATGAATCAATTAAACGATTTATATTTTTTTAATATTTTTTTTTGCATTTGGTTACAGTTCAACCCGACATTACATACCGTAGACAGTTCTGTTAAGTTACAGTTCATTAAAATAGGTGAAACCTTTTTAAAGTATGTTTTAAGTAATTAAGTGATAATAGGATAAAACTTAATTACGCGACACCCTAATGATATTCATTAGAGGTCGAAATACAGGATTGCATGCTGAAATTTATTTTAAAAAAAGCTTCAACAATCAGCTCCTTCGTAGGCCTACCTGTCTTAAATTAGTTCTTCCTTAAGCATATTCTTTAATTAGTTCCCTCTTTAGCACCGTGTCTTCTATTAATCCCCTTTTACACCCCCTCCCCCCCCCCTTCCCCTCCCCCATCGATTCTACGAAGTCTAAAATGAAAGAGACTCTATTAAAAGTGTCTTCACATTTCAAAAAATTGCCTTAAAAAAATCAAATTCCTCACAGCTGCATATTTCATCTGAAATCAACAAAACACGTTATGATCTTTTATGACCTAATCAGAAAAACAAACGATAGACATTTTTCTTAGCAAGCTCATAATTTAAAAACAAATTTCCTA